AATGGAGAGGACACTCAATATCTTTCTTACAACATCGGATGGTTGCATTTGAGTAAGTCCAAGCCCATTGACTTCCTCTATAAGAACATTCAAACATGAATATATTTCATTAGCACATTCTTTAGGAAGCATTTCAAAAGAGTTGAGCTTTTTTATGACAAGATGATAGCGTTCCTCATGCTCACTCTTGGTTCCCTCATGGAGTGCACAAACGTCCGACCATAGTGCATGGGCGTCTTTGTGGTTCCTCACCCGGTTGAACACATCTTTACAAAGGCCTCTAAAAATAGTGTTTCTAGCCTTTGCATTCCATTTTTCGCAGTTCAACTCATCGCCTTGTGGGTGTGTGGCATCCCGAGGTTTTGGGAAACGTTGTGAGGCGGCTCTAAGAATTCTAACGTCTAGAGCTTCTAGATACGCCTCCATGCGGATTTTCCAATATGAAAAATCATCCCCCTCGAAGATAGGAGGAGGTCCATCCCCGTGAGACATATTTCACTAGGCGGTTAAGCCTAAATATGTGAGCACGAGGCTCTGATACCAATTGAAAGGATCAAGATGCCCAAGAGGGGGGGTGAATTGGGCTAATTCTAAATTTCTTTGCAATAATTAAATCCTACGTTTAGCCCAATTAACCCCTTGTGCCTAAAAAGTGTTTCTAATTGTTCTACCGCATAAAAGACTTGCAACCTAAGTTCCAATCCTACTCTAGCATGACAATTCTATGAATTATAAAGACAAGAATTGAATTGCTCAATGTAAATGCTCAAAGTAATTACTCAAAGTAAATACTCAAAGTAAATGCTCAAAGTAAATAGAGAAGGAGGAACGCGACGATCTTTTGTCGAGGTATCAGAGAGTTGCCACTCCCCACTAGTCCTATTTGGAGCACCTGTGCAAGGGTGTAGCTCTCCCTTGATCCGTGCAAGGATCAAGTGCTCTCTACGGGTTGATTCTTCGACACTCCGTCACGGTGAATCACCCACAACCACTCACAACTTGAGTTGGGTCATCCACAAGCTCTCCGGATGATCACCAAGCTCCCAATCACCACCAAGGCGTCTAGGTGATGGCGATCACCAAGAGTAACAAGCACGAACTCTCACTTGACCACGACAAGCCTAATGAGAAGGGTGGATACACACTTTGCTACTCTTGATCTTGCTAATGAGGGCTCTCTTTGGAATTCTCAAATCTCAATCACCTCACTAGGACCTTGCTCTTCTTGGCACTCTCTAAGGTGTTTCTCAGCTGTTGGAATGAGTAAAAGTACCCCCACACACGAGTGGAGGGAGTATTTATAACATGGGCTAAAAACGAACCGTTATATGCCTCTGCGGGGTGGTCGGATGCTCCGGTCATGTTGACCGGACGCTCCGGTCAGTACACCCCGAACTCTAGTGTTTACAGTGTGACCCAGCGTCCGATCAGCACTGATCGGACACGTCTGATCGCAATTTTCCCTCTCTGGAACCTTACTAGAGTCGACCGGACGTAGGCTCTCAGCGTCCGGTCACATCACCTCTCAGCGTCCGATCAAACCATACGCAATCACCTTGGTCAAATGAACTGACCGAATCAAGGCTTGTCGTCCGGTCAAACCGGGACCAGCGTCCGGTCAGTATTTGACCCTCCATTCACTTTCAACTCTCGATCATATGTGAATGAAGTTTGATCCAATAGATCTTAGGCATATTTAGGAGCTACCTAGTGCTAGTTTTAACAAGTGTGCACCACACCTAACTCACTAGACTCACCTAGGTCAAGCTACCCGTCCATACCCCCCTTAATAGTACGACCAAAGGAAAAACAAAGTCCTAAACTACTCTAAGTGTCTCTCCAACTCCAATCGATACTTAGAACTAGTCATCCTTAACATTGTCGTCCATCCTTTGAAAACCGAAATGATTTCTATCATAGGGGCATGACCACCTTGATTGCCCAATCGATCTCCATTACCATGACCTAACTTAATTGCCTCTGCAAAATACACGTTAGTCATAGTAATCTTGTATTGTTATTAATCACCGAAACCCAACTAGGGGCCTAGATGCTTTCACTAACACAATACCCATTTTGATTCTCTATAATTGATATTTCATTGTGATGAATGTGTCAATGTGTTTTCACCCTTTGCATTGCACCTCTATGAAATTTTAATATGTATTTAGTTGAAACAGTTATATCAGATCTTGTTGCATCCTCACTATTTTGGGACACCATGAATCTATAATTTTGGCTCTCACTTCATCATCTTATTATTTATTATATTTTTTATTTGTGTCTTAATACCAAACTCTAGTGGTTATTGTATCTTTTATTCATTTTTTTATCTTGTACCTCCAATTAGTAATATTAAGATTTCACCATAGCATGAACAATTCAAACTACAAGCCTACTTGTTTTTAACTAAAGGGACCAAAATCAAACCCTAAGGAAAGATAATGTCACAAATCACTAAATTAGAAAAGAACACCATCACACCAAACCCCAATTTATTACGTTTAAACTATACATAAGTCCATACATTATTAGGACTGTTGGTTTAACTCTTCGACTAAGCCTTTTTAGCAGCATGTTTTTTAGCAGCAATAATGAAAAGGCTATAGCTAGCCATAGTTGCCACAATTTGACTTGGAGGTTTTGGGAAAATATGGTAGAAATAAGTGAGTTATGCAAATAAACTTGGCACAAATAAGGAAACTTACCTAAACTCTTTTCAGGGGAGAGGAGAGGTGAGTCAGGGGTAACTTGGTGGTCTTCCTACTCGACAAAGAACTGAGGAAAGCAGGACATGCTCATCTCCTTCTGGTCCCGCGACATGGTCACATCGGCGAGTGGATGGCTAGCTTGCTTGAGGGAGTTAGAGTGCCTAGATCTTTGCAATTCGCGCTACTGCTTTCGATTGAGGCCACCACCACCACACGCGTAATAGCCGCTACTACTATGCATCGCAATAGCTACTGCCGTCGTCGAGAGACCAAGATGAGTGGGGACTAGGGAATGGCCATTTGGCTAGGGTTACATTCTTGGATGCTAGTCACTCTTTATATATGGATGTTCATTTTGGGCCCCCACGACCTTAATTGGGCCTTTTAGCGGTGCTGATTGAATGTCCATTTAGTGGATTTGATCGGCTAATTGTTCCTATTAGCGCTAAAGATCAAATAGTAGCAAAATTGATCTATCCTAGTGTGCTTGTTGGCCGGCCGCACGCTATCTTTAGGGATTTAAATCCTTGATTAGGATGACCTAGATATAAGTACACAAACATATGAATCCAGAGAAACAACACAGAGAGAAGAATCTAGTCATCGTAAGAGCGTTAATAGATTGAGAGTATCAAGATTGATATAGATTTTCTGGTCAAGCAAAGATCGGTCCCACACCAACAAGGGCTAGATCGCCTGGGTCGCAAACGAACTGAAGAACGCAACAGATAACCAACATGCTTTCACGGTGAAGAGCAGCAAGGTTTACAAGCAAACCAGCAAAAGATAGCTATCACGCTTATGTGACGAAGAACAACTAGGTTTTAGGCAAGCAAATGATCGCCGCCGAAGCTCTCTTGGGAGGAACCCCGTTGGGGCAAAAACATCGGTAGGTTTTGCCCTAGTCTCGCCTCCAAGCCTAGGCGCCATCCTTATTGGTCATTGGGTCAAGCGATGAACAACAACATGAAGTTGGATTCTCTCAATGTACTATGATCTTCTCACATATATAGGGGTCTTAACCCACTAGGAAACCTTTGCACATCAGAATCTACAAGTTTCTTAGTTTTTGGACTAAATTGGCTTAGCCAACTTTCCCTGGCAAAGTCTTCTATCCCAAGTTTTGTGGCAAAAGTCGACTACCCCAACTTTCGAGGTCTCCTTCACAACTTTCCTAAGAGAATTTGCATGCGACCATAACTCTCTCATTTGGACTCTGAATTTGATGATCCATATATGTTTTTCGATCACTTTGGCAAGAGGAACGTAACGACGAAGTTTAATTTGCACTTTGAGAACTTCAACTCGCCCCGAGGCTAAGACGACTTCTAAGTCGGCTAGGCCATCTTTCCTGCCTCAGTCTCATCTTTTTGTCAATTTTGTGTGTCAACACCATCTCACTTGTCTGTTCCACACCTTATGATGTCTATAGTTGTGTGACACCATCTTCTCCTAGAATTACAAGTGAAACTAAATCAAAGTATATTTTGCATTTAAAAGAATTGAATTACAAAACCTTAGTATTTATTTGCAAAAAATCCCTTAGCATTTAGCTACCTTAACGAACCATCTAGAAACAATATTTAAAAATATAAATAATTAAATTACGAGTCACATATATGTTTCTTTGCCTTTAAAAATGCTTCAACCCAAAATGCGATGAACAAAACAGAACCTTCTATTTCATGGATTGCTTCTATTCTGTCAAATACAGCATCTGATCACTGATCACACATACTGTGTGGCCCTTGAAATCAAAGTGAAATAAAACCATATGAAGCTATTTTCCCCCAGAACTTCAAGACAAGCCAATTAAATAACAAAAAGCCCTTCCAAAATAAAAAAAACAAAAGCTTAGCACAACCTACAACACAGATCTGCAAATACAACCACAACACAGATCTGCAAAATAAAGCAACAAAAGAAGGGAAGATAGCACACTTTTTGCTTGCTTGCCTGCATAGTCATCTCACCCTGATTTGTACTGTTGTGTAGTTGTGCCATTGTGTGGCGCCATCTCCTCCCAAAATTACACGCCAAACCAAAGTAAAAATCATCAATCGATTATAAAAAAAGTAAAAATCATCTATGTTTTCCAGCTACAAAAATCTGAAATCGGAAGAAACCAACATATAAATATCCCGGAGATAATTTTACTCCCCCGCCTGACCTAAAACCCTCGCCTTATCTTCTCATCGCCTCGCCTCCCCCCACCCGGCTTCCTCGAATCCTACTACTGCTGCCGCTGTTTTCTTGCTTCGTTGCGTGCTGGCGGAGCAAGAGGCGGCCATGGCCACCACCACCGACGCCGCCCCAGTTGCGCCCGTGGAGGAAGAGAGCGCCGCCCCGGCGGCCGCCGAGGAGGAGCCGCCCAAGAAAGTCGAGGCGGCCGTGGCTACCACCGACGCCGCCCCAGTCGCGCCCGCGTCCGCGCCCGTGGAGGACGAAACCCCGGCCCCGGCGGCGGCCGAGGAGGAGCCCACCAAGAAAGTCGAGGCGGCGGCGGCGGAGGAGGTGGAGGAGGATAGGGAGGCGCCGAAGAAGGTCTTGGCGGGTGGGGGAGAGAAGGAGGAGGAAGAGGACGTGAGATTGGAGGGGAAAGGTGAGGGCTTTCGGGGTCCGGAGGCCGAGAACGGCCAGGCGGAGGGTGTCAGAGGAGGATATGATGGCGGGGAGGTAAAAGAGGCGGAGGAGGATGATAAAGGTGTGAATTTGGGAGCGGCGGAGGCCGAGAAGGATGATGGCGGCGAGGAACCAGCGTCGGAGGACGGGGAGGCAGCCGCTTCTGGGGCCGCGATCGTGCCAGCGGTGGAGTCCAAGTCGGAGAACGGCGAATTGGGGGAGGGGGATCCTTCTCTGGCTTTCCATGATGCGCTGGAAGGTGATGAGAAGGGCGAATTGCGGGAGAAGGAGCAGCAGGAGGAGGAAAGAGGTGCTGCAGTGGAGGTAAAGGTTGTGGATAAGGTGTCAGATGATGCTGAGGCGCCGGTGGCCGAAGAGGAGAAACTGGAACCGGAAGTTGAGAAGAGCGAGGAGGTAGGTTCTGGGGGTGGAGATGGTGGTGAGTTGAGCGATGAGAAGGAGGTTGAGGTCTCCCCTCCAAGCGAGGAGGCGGCGGAACCACAGGATAAGGTAGCCCCTGAAGCTAATGGTGAATTGGGCGATGAGAAGGAAGGAAGTGATGATGTGGTGGCTCTTGGAGGCGAAGAAGCCCCGGATGAATCGACTAACAAGGATGCTGATGGTGACGATGTGGTGGCTCTGGGAGGTGAAGAATCCCCAGAAGAATCAACTAAGAAGGATGCTGATGTTGAAGATGAAGCCACCAAGCCTGAGCCACCGAGTGAGGCGAGTCCAGTGGTAAGTGAGCATCCTCAATCTGATTTTGTTGCTAGTAGTCTTGATGCTAGTGGGGATGTAAACAATTCAAATGTTACACTGACCCAGGTTATGAAGGATGGAAGCATAGAGGAGCTTGCTCCTGCAAGTGCTAACAGTGTGCTTGAGGATAGTCCTGAGAAGGAGCAGAATGCTGAAGACCAGGCCACTGCCAGTGAAGCGGTGGAAGATGTTGGTGTCGACAAGCCCACAGAGGTTGAGAGTGTTGCTGCGCCTAGTGCTGATGGTATCTTGTCTCGAGAGTTGTCTCCAGAATCAAGCAATGAAAATAATGGTGCTGATGAGATTGAAAGTGCCACTGAGGTTGTTGATCGTGAAGTGGAGGCTGTTGATAATGACATAATTGAGGTTGTACCAGATGACGAGGATGGGGTTGGTAATGAGGCTGACGACGATGATGACGGGGCGAACTCTGACACGAGTCCCGCACGGGTTGCAATCTTAGAGAGCTCTGATGCCGCGAAGCAGATTATGAAGGAGCTTGCAGAAGGCTCTAGTGGTAGTGTCTCAAGAGACTTCACCAATAGCATGGATGGGCAGATTATGCTTGATGATTCTGAGGATGACGAGGATGATGATGATAATGATGATGGGGATGAGAAGGGATTTGATTCTGCTGCCTTGGCGGCCCTTCTCAAAGCGGCAACCGGGTGGATCCTCAGATGGGAATATCACAGTTTCTTCACAAGATGGTTCTAGAATATTCACCATGGACCGACCTGCTGGTCTTGGTTCATCAGCCCCTTCTCTGAGGCCGACTGCGCCTCGCCAACCTGCCCGGTCAAACCTATTCAGCTCCTCGGAGCTAGCAGTTACTGCTGACCCTACAGAAGAGATGACAGAGGAAGAGAAGAAGCTACACGACAAGGTTGAGTTGATTAGAGTAAAGTTTCTGCGTCTGGTTTACAGACTGGGAGCTACTCCTGAAGAAACAGTTGCAGCACAAGTGCTGTACCGTCTGAGCCTTGCTGAGGGTATCCGACATGGTAGGCAGACAAACCGAGCATTCAGCCTTGATAATGCGCGGAGGAAGGCCTTACTTCTTGAAGCAGAGGGAAAGGAGGATCTGAACTTCTCATGCAACATACTTGTTCTAGGAAAGACTGGAGTTGGTAAAAGTGCAACTATCAATTCTATATTTGGTGAAGAGAAGTCCAAAACTGATGCCTTTAGCTCAGCAACCACCAATGTGTGGGAAATCGTTGGTGATGTGGATGGTGTCAAGATTAGAATCATTGATACACCTGGCCTTCGACCCAATGTTATGGACCAAGGATCAAACAGAAAGATTCTTGCTGCTGTCAAGAAATATACCAAGAAATGTCCGCCAGATATTGTTCTATATGTGGATCGTCTGGATAGTCTGAGTCGTGATCTCAATGATTTGCCTCTTCTGAAGACAATTACTGCTGTTCTTGGCTCATCCATATGGTTCAATGCCATTGTTGCACTCACACATGCTGCCTCTGCTCCTCCTGAAGGCCTCAATGGTGCTCCCATGACATATGAGGTCTTGATGGCTCAGAGATCCCACATCATCCAGCAGTCCATCAGGCAGGCTGCTGGAGATATGCGCTTGATGAACCCAGTAGCCCTTGTTGAGAACCATCCTTCGTGCAGGAAAAACCGTGAGGGCCAGAAAGTTCTTCCGAATGGCCAAAGCTGGAGGCATCAGATGCTGCTTTTGTGCTACTCCTCAAAGATATTATCAGAAGCCAACTCACTTCTGAAGCTTCAGGATCCTAATCCTGGAAAGCTTTTTGGCTTCCGTTTCCGCTCCCCACCTCTTCCTTTCTTGTTGTCCTCACTCTTGCAGTCTAGAGCCCACCCCAAACTTTCTGCTGAGCAGGGTGGCAATGAAGGTGATTCTGATATTGAATTGGATGACTATTCTGATGTAGAACAAGATGATGACGAAGAAGAATATGATCAGCTTCCACCCTTCAAGCCCTTGACCAAAGCTCAGCTTGCAAGGCTCACAAAGGAGCAGAAGAATGCTTATTTTGATGAGTATGACTACAGGGTTAAGCTTCTCCAGAAGAAACAATGGAAGGATGAGATCCGCAGGTTAAAGGAGATGAAGAGGGGGAAAACTGATCTTGATGATTATGGGTATGCAAATATCGCTGGTGAGAACGATCAGGATCCTCCTCCAGAGAATGTATCAGTTCCCTTACCTGATATGGTGCTGCCTCCTTCATTTGATTGTGACAATCCCACATACCGGTACCGCTTTCTGGAGCCAACTTCGACTGTCCTAGCAAGGCCTGTTTTAGATGCACATGGATGGGATCATGACTGTGGTTATGATGGAGTGAGCGTTGAAGAGACACTAGCTATCCTTAGCAGGTTCCCAGCAAATGTAGCAGTTCAGGTCACCAAGGACAAGAAGGAATTTAGCATCCATTTGGACTCTTCCATCGCAGCAAAGCATGGAGAGAATGCATCATCGCTTGCTGGTTTTGATATCCAGACTGTTGGGCGGCAGCTTGCATATATTCTCCGAGGCGAGACAAAAATCAAGAATATCAAGAAGAACAAGACCACTGGAGGGTTCTCAGTAACTTTCCTGGGTGACATTGTGGCAACTGGACTGAAGGTCGAGGACCAGCTCTCCCTTGGGAAGAGGTTGTCACTAGTTGCCAGCACTGGTGCGATGCGAGCCCAAGGGGACACTGCATATGGAGCTAACTTGGAGGCACGCCTGAAGGACAAAGACTATCCAATTGGCCAGTCCCTCTCAACCTTGGGCCTCTCTCTGATGAAGTGGCGCCGGGACCTTGCTCTGGGCGCAAACTTGCAGTCCCAGTTCTCCATCGGAAGGGGGTCGAAGATGGCAGTTCGACTTGGTCTGAACAACAAGCTGAGTGGGCAGATCACCGTCAGGACAAGCACCTCAGAACAGGTCCAGATCGCACTTCTGGGTCTCATACCGGTTGCAGCCTCCATCTACAGGAGCTTCTGGCCCAGTGAACCATCCTTTGCTTATTAGCTTGTCTGGAGGAGTCCCAGTTTAATTATTTCATAACCATATCATTTCTCTTAGCAATTTTCCTTTTCATATGAACCATGTTTCCTGCTGTTTCAGTTTACTCCTTTGTAATTCCTATCATAA